CACCAGTTATTTTAATTTTTTCGAATAATCGAAAAACCTGAAGAACAGAACCCAAAAAAACCGGTTCAGTTCCAATTCGGTTCTTGGAAAAAAAAAAAGTACTACCCAAACTGTTAAACTCTCACCCCGGAGGGGTTTTCTGGTGAATAGCCTCCGATTCTTAGGTTAACACTTGTAGAAGATGAAGTGCAATATGTAAATGTGTGCGGAGTGTAATGTATTTTATGGCATACCTCACTCCCTTATATAGGGAGATGATACCTTGTTGTCCAAGTTTGCCCCGTGGGGGGTTGTCCAAACTGCCCGTTCATACTGCCCGAGCTACTCGGACTGCTCAAACTGCCCATTTTGTTAGGCCACGCCGTCCTATCCACGTGGGAGCTTAATCCTCATAATATTCATTCTTATCCTTTAGTCTTCTTCATTAGACGGTCTAACCGTACGACCGACCCCGATTACCTCGAGGTGGAGTACTACTGATGTCGAGATCTACCGCTATGCCCATCTGGTCGATCCTTCGACCAGATGGCCCTTCAGGTCGAACTTCGTTCAAGCCATTCGAGGACCCTAATTCGACCTGTTAGTATGTTTTGTGTTCTAACTGTCTTCTTCGACATAGGTCTCCTTTGACCTGTGAAGTCCTCATACTCTGTTTGATTTGATGACATGCCCAGTTCGATTCGGTTGCTTCCTGGTCTAGTCGATCAGGTACCGTTATCCAAAATTCATATTAAAATGCACACCTATTTAACTGGACTGGTCCTAGGCCTAGTAAAATGTTCGTTACTTAAAAAAAATAAAGAGATAGTTTTTGTAAACATTTAATTAATTTATTTAAAAGGTATTTAATTATTCGTTTCTTAACATTGAGCCTAGATATAATTATATATCTAAAATAAAGTATAAGATTATTAAATTGCATTTCATTTTAAATACTCTTAAGGCATCCATATTGGTTTAAATACCACGCATTTAAATGGTGCCTATATCATTCAAACCACCGTGGCATTGTAATTTAAATGAAAAAAATGATGGAGCTCACACATGCCATTTTATGTATTGAAGGCCATTTATCTTGGTAAGACATTTAGAAAAATTGAAATAATAATTAGTGGAAAGTGAACCCACTTATACATGTAAATGCATATAGCTTTTAAAAAATTAAAACAATGTTAAAATATTAGAAAATAGGTCACACTAATATATGTATTTAAATGTATTAATCAATGTGAGATGATGCTTAAATAGAGAAATATTTAATAAAATGATGATGTTTCACGTTACGTGATTAGAGAGATTGTAATTGATGAGTAAATTAACGATAACGAAATCGAATAGCGATGCTCTTATACAAGTCGTTACTTGTAACCCATATGAACTCGGATGACCTTTTTGTTCTCTTTAATCCAATAGAGTCTATCTAAACGCGTGGACATTTTTTGAGTTGACCGCGGAAAAATATAAAAGATTAACTAAACCAGAAACACGGTCCATTTTGTTTAACTAATTTACATATTTTTAAATAAATCATATGATATGTCTATCTCTTGAATTTATTTATTACGTACCGACAGGCCACATGTACTGATGTAGACCAAAACAGAGCTGAGACTTCCTATGCATCTCCATTTTTCAGAACTGTAAAAATTCACAATTTCCCTCATAAATTTCCACACGATTGAAGATATTCTCTCTGTACAGCCCCATAAGGTAAATCCCGTCGTCTTATTTCCTTCAAGAATTTTCTTTGAAGTGTAATGATTCCATTTTTTTTTTCTTATGGAGATGTATCTTTGACAGCCCTTTAAAGCTTGGGACATGGCGAAAGTTGAAAATTTTCATCTACTGCTACAGCATTTTAGCTGCCTAAACCTGGGTTGAACAATTCTTGATCTATTAGGTTCAGATCGCATGTTTTGTTTCATCATTTTTGTAGGAATTAAGGTTATGTTTTTTTTTTTCAGAAAAAAATTAAATAGCTTGGGATTGATCTGAAAAAAATTCAACACTCGTAGGTGAACAGTAGAGCTAAAATCATCATCTGAAATGTCACTATTCATATAAGACTCATATTTACTAGATTTCTTGATTTGTCAAGGCATGACGCTCCTATATGCTGTTGTTAGTTTTGAGATTCCCCTTATTATTTTACTTTATTTAGCGTTCAATCTTTCTACCTAGTTTGAGCGTAGAGGGTCTCCCATATTTTCATGAATATTCATTGTGTGATTTAAATCTGGAAATTTGGACTTCAGGATTGGAATTTATTCGTTTTATTTTATAGTTTAATTGCTGCATCTTCTGATTTTCCTTTTCACAATGTGCTCAGTTCATTTGGGGCTAAATTTTTCTTGATTTTTACCCATAATTTGCACTTATCCTTTGGACTGGCTCTTGTTTATATGTAAATTAGGATTTGTGAAATATATTGACATGGGTTTCCCTATGTAATTATTTCACAGGGGGGAAAATGCGCGTAAATTTTGAAGTTTTGATAGACAAACAGCGATTGGTGCCATGACTTGGTTCACTGCTTGTTTCGGCCAGAATGATTCTTCCCAAACAGAAGATATCAATAGGGGTATATCTCTAAATTTAAAAAATAAAACATAAAAAACAAGAAATACCGGACTAATTGATCCAATTTGCTCATTCCATTACCCAGAGAAATTAAAATAATGTTGTTCAGTACATGACTTCAACCGCTATCTAGAAAATATCTAACAGTACTCTGAAATGATGCAGAAATTTCGAATCTTCCGAATGCTAAATTGTACAGCTATAAAGAACTACAAACCGCAACTGAAAATTTCAATCAGGCGAATAAGGTTGGTGAAGGTGGATTCGGTTCTGTATACAAGGTAATTGTCAACTTCTTTGCTTCATCATAACCTATTTTTCTTTCTTTTTTTTTGTTTTTTTTTTTTTGTTAATAAGTTGCCCTTAAACCTGTAGGGAAAGCTAAATGACGGCACGTTAACAGCCATTAAGGTTCTATCTGCTCAATCAGAGCAAGGCGTGCGTGAGTTCCTAAACGAGATAGTTGCAATATCGGGAGTCGAACATGAAAACTTGGTCAAATTGTATGGTTGCTGCACAGAGAGAGGCCAAAGAATATTGGTTTACGGCTATCTCGAAAATAATAGCCTCGCTCAAACTCTTCTAAGTAAAGCTATTACCACAAGAGTAACATTATTTTTAGTCTTAAGTTCATTTTGTGTGTTTAGAAGGAAACTGATTAAAATTGCGATATAGGGCGCAGCAGTGATTTGCACTTTAGCTGGAAAATGCGGACTAAAATTTGCATAGGCGTTGCACAAGGGCTTGCTTTCCTTCACGATGAAAGTCAGCCACATATTGTTCATAGAGACATAAAGGCGAGCAATATTCTTCTTGACAGGGATTTCACGCCGAAAATTGCAGACTTTGGTCTGGCAAAGCTTTTTCCTGCGACTATGACTCATATTAGCACACGTGTTGCTGGGACCTTGTGAGTTGGTGAAACTCCTGCTCTATTTTATGTGGTAGTGCAATTGATGTTTTGGTGAATTTTGGCAAAAAAAGACGAATAATTGTGAGCTGTTAATTAAATTAAATTTTGAGAAGTTAATAGGGGTACCTGCATATTTTATTTGTGATTGTTCGTGGTGCGTTAAGAGAACATCGGTTAAGAAAACTAATCCGGATGTTTTTCATCTATTTGGTTTGAAATTTTTGAAAAAGTACTGCACACACATATTTTCAATGATGGTGACCGAAAGATATTTGCGGATGGAAACTGTTGGATCTCTTTATTTTGTCGACTTTTATTTTTATTTTCTTCTTACAGATTGTATTATTCTTTTGCAGTGGTTATTTGGCTCCTGAGTATGCAATTCGAGGCAAGCTTACAAGAAAAGCAGATATATACAGTTTTGGGGTTCTTCTGCTAGAAATTATCAGTGGAAGGTGCAACAGAAGCAAGAGATTACCAATCGAAGAACAAAATCTTCTCGAAATGGTATGAAACTGTTGATTTTCAGATTTTTTTTACTAAAGAGGGTGAATATGTTCGACAGAAAACTATCTTTCTGTACTCATGTTGATTAGATAAATCCCAGTTTGTCATCATTTAGGAAGAAACAACTGTGTAATTTTTAGAATAGAAACGTAACTTTGAAAGACAAAGGTGCATTTTCTGCAATTAGGCTGAGTCCACAATATAGCATTTGACATTATACTCTAAAGCAACTGCAGCCAATCCTTTACCACCTCTGACAAATGATGCAATTCTTGGAACAATCTGAACTTTTATACCTTTCTTTGAACATGTTAAACATGCATGAAAATTGATATGTAAACCTTTTGAAGAAGAAATGTGCGTCTCTCTCTCTCTCTGTCTGTCTCTCTCTGTCTCTCTCTCTCTTTCTCTAGGCTTAATAACACTTCATTTTTTTTTAAACATTTGTTGTTAAAATAATACCTCAACTTCAGTTCCCCTCTTTAGGGCCTCATCAACCTTATTTTCCAGGCATGGCTATTGTACGAGAACAATACGCCAATCGACTTGATCGATAGATCACTCAATGGGGATTTCAACACCGACGAAGCTTTCAGGTTCGTGAAAATCGGGCTGTTATGCACCCAAGATAAGCCCAAGAACCGGCCCACAATGTCTGCAGTCGCCAAAATGCTCAAAGGCGAGACGTGTGTGGATGATGTGGAGCTGTCAAGGCCAGGCCTACTCGAAGAGCTAATGACTCTCAAGGCCTCGAGCAATGCCCCATCATCTGGGTCGGGAACAAAATCCTCGTCTTCTCAAAGCACAAACATGACCTATGCCACCATGTCTTTCTCGTCTATATACGACCGAACTAATTGAGCTTGGGAGGAAAAAGAAAAAAGAATGTTTGTTTCTTTAGAAATGTATATAAAGATTTTACTGGGTATGTTTGGGACAGAACTATAAAACTGAGTCTTTGAGGGAGATGGAAGTGGAAATGTTAACACTCAACAGTGATGGGATCATTTTTTTTTGGTCAATATGGCCATAAGATGATATGGATTGGAGATGTAAATTTAATTTAATCATTTTTATTAGTTTCTGTTTGTTCAAGAAAATAACATAATTTTTTTTACTAGTATTCACTTTAATGGAGCATGGCATTTATAGGTATACTAGTATAGAGCCCGTGCGATGCACGGGGTGTACAATTTTAAGACTATTTATCCAGACTTATAATTATATACATGAATAAAGAAAAATGTACGGAATATATATAGTACGTGACCCATGCAAAACACGAGATATATTTATTTGGAGAATATTATATTATAAGATGCAATATTCAATAAAAGTAGTTTATAATACGCAAGAAAATTGTACAATGTCCAATAAAAGTTTTATAATATTCAAGTGAGTCTTAAAGTCTCTTGTACATTAAGACTACTGACAAAATAATATTTTAATCAATGAGTTTCCTTTCCTTGTAGCCAAATTGTGAATGTGATTTGAGAAGTACAACAAATCGATATATAGCTGACTTGCTTTTTTCATTGTAGTTTTTTTTCTTTTTTTTTTATAATGAATTTAAAGATATTCTAAAATATAGTAAAAATTAATTTTTTTATTACAATTAGGAATTTTACTAAATGTAAACTCTCAATCTATGGTGTTAATCAACGTTTAAGTCTAAAAAATTATGAATTTTTACCTCTTTTAATCAACGTTTAAGTATAAAAAACAATAGAGTTATTATAAATTTTTTTTCTACATCTTTTAAAACATTAAATATGAGCATGTTAGGGCTAGCTTGTAAAATAATTAATATATTATCTCACTAAAACATTTATACTAATAAAAATTTAATTTTAGTATATAAATTTATCCCTTAATATAAGAGAAAATAACAGTTTTACTTATAGTTGTTCACCATAAAATATTTAATTATTATTTTATTATATAATAAAAATAGAATATTGTTAAATAGTGTAGTAGAATTGTTATAAAATTATATGATTTTTTTTTTTTACAATATGGATTTAATATTTTTTATGATTTGATAATATAAACAAATCTATACTTAACTTTGACAAATTGAACAAATAAATACTTTAGTAAGTATTTAATGTATATACTAAATAGGAATATATTTAGTATAATCAAATACCAAATATAATCAAATAAGTCAAAGTGTACATTTTTATTTGGTATTTGATTTTTTTATTATTAAAATCTTTTTATTATGCTTACCTTTTTAAAATAAAATAAATAAATAAATCAATTAAATAAATAAAATATTATAATACCAAAATAGTAATGACATTTAATGCAGTTGACTTTTGTGGATAATAAATGTAGTAAATAGAATATCCTTTTATATAGTGTAATACGGAAATAGTAATTGTTGACTTTTCTGGCTACTTAATTTGGTAAATAGTACCCCTTTTAATATAAGTATAGATATAAAGTATTAAAATATCAGTTTCCCCAAACCATAAAATTCAGTCCTCACTCCTCGATGTAACTTTCATGATGATTGAATCCATATATTTACTTATAAGCTAAACTAGGTCCACTTTTAATTGCATTCACTTATAAATTAGATTAGGTTCATTTTTAATTGAATTGTGAAATACTTTTTTATAGACTAAGTCTATTTTTTACATGACATGTGATTTTTTTTAAAGAGACTCAAAGCATTGTGGGTGCTCTAAGGATATTTAGTTTCCATTAATGGGCTAAATATCAAGCATTTTGTTAATTTATCAACCCCTTTAATTTGTTTGGTTCAAATAAAAAAAGTCTATGATATGGATTGAAGCCCGGTACATTTTCCGTAATTTTAATATTAGGTATCCCAATGATGACGAAAAGGGGATGTAAGAATGGACAATCAACTCGTCAATCGTTCAACTGAAAAGTAATCGTCGGAAAACACCATTCCACATTTTTTTAAAAATGATGATTTTCCCATAAGATCAATTCCAACTTTATTTAAAATCATTAACATTTTTTAACAAGAAGAATCAAGCTGATCAAAATTTTGATTTTTTTACGTGACGAATATAAACAATTTAGTTGTGTCAAATTTGAAGCAATCTGCATAGATCGGCCCAACTTTGTTCAATGTGGTTTTGATTTAATCCATGCAATTTTATCATTCAGCCACAGATAATTTTTGTTTAGAGAAAGAGTTTTATTTTCTTAAAAATGATATTTATGGTATTTTCAAAGAGGCCAGGGGCATTTCAGCAAATTCAACATTACTCAACAGATGAGGTGGATATATAATAGTGCTTCCTCTCCCTCGAAAACCCCTCAGTTCTCATCTGCGCAGTCGCTAGGGTTTATCATTTCTCTCTGAAAATGGCGATTCGATGTCTCAAGCGCGCCGTCCTCCCCACCACCAAATCCCTGGCCGCGATCTTCGCTAGATCCTACACCACAGCCGCCTCGTCCTATGGCGTCCTCAGCAGGCCCTTTTTTGTCGTCCGCCTCCGTCCTCTCGCCGGCGCCGCCGCTTGCACCTTCCATACTCGCATTCACTCTCCGGCGATATCTACCAGGGGATTCGCGACTCGACAGACAGCGTCGTCTCTGAACGATCAAAACCCGAACTGGACGAATCGCCCCCCGAAGGAGACAATTTTGCTCGATGGTTGCGATTTCGAGCACTGGTTGGTGGTCATGGAACCGCCGCCGGAGAATTCGACGCGGGACGATATCATTGATTCATACATCAAGACTCTTGCTTTGGTCGTTGGGAGGTTTGTCATTTTCTAATTACCGTCTATGTTTATGGTGTTAAAACTTTAAAGACTTGGTTTTTCTGTCTCGTTTAGTTTTGTATTGTGTAAGTTGAACCAAGATATCACGTGGATGTTCCTCTTTTCATTTTCTTATTTTTGTTTGCTAGTGGATGGTAAAAAATCTGGAAATGAAGTTTAGGGTTACAGTTCCTGTGATAGCATCTGATAAGAGAGATTCAGTGGGTCAATAGTCTTGTATTGTTTATGTTTTTCAGTTTTCAGATGAGACCTATCTTGTGCAAATTGTTAATCTTTTTGAAATTTTGAAGTCAACTTGGGTTGTATATTTGAAATGATAAGACAAATGTTGTTTATGATACTGTGCATATCGTTGTGAGTCCTTGATGACTGTAATATTGAATGGTCCCCTGTCGAGTATTTAGTGTGAATTACATCCTTCGTTTGGCAGTGATTGGTTGGGTTTCAAAATGCTTAAAACCAAAGAATCCGTTTTTCTGTGAGATTGTAAACACATCAGTTGACAATCTCTGTTTCTCATTCTTTAGTTTTCTCTTTAAGTGTTAATATCATGATTGCATTGCTGCCTTGTTGAATTTCATATTAGTCAGCAAATTTTTGTTTATGCAGTGAAGAAGAAGCTAGGAGGAAGATTTATTCAGTCTCTACTAGGTGCTACTATGCCTTCGGAGCTCTTGTGTCGGAAGAGTTGTCTTTCAAGCTAAAAGGTACCCGACCCTAGTTATTTACCACATTGCTTTCTGATTCTAATTTAAACCTTTTCAGTTTCTTAAATTGAATCAAAACTTGTGGTGCAGAACTTGAAAATGTTCGTTGGGTGCTTCCGGATTCATACTTGGATGTGAAGAACAAAGATTATGGAGGTATGAAAATACCTCGGCTTACATAAATCTCTTGAATTGCTATCACAAACTAAAACAGCTTTCATTCATACACTCCCATCATAGTTTATAGGTTTCATTTCAAAACAAGAACATCGTGTCCACTCGAATTATAATTCCTCTTTTTAACTCGTATTATTTCTTCTGGCAGGCGAGCCATTCATCGACGGCAGGGCTGTGCCGTATGACCCCAAATACCACGACGAGTGGATCCGAAACAACAATCGGGCCAATGAGAGGAACAGGCGCAATGATAGGCCCCGCAACTTTGACAGGTCACGCAACTTCGAGAGGAGAAAGGACAATCTAAACAGCGGAGGAGGCCCACAGAACTATAATAATGTTCGTCCACCACCACAACAAAATGCTCCCAATGCAGGTGGTATGAATGCCGGACAGGGAAACCATCTGCCTCCAAACAGTAACACCGGAAACTACCCGCCAAGGGGACCACTGTCGCCTAACAACAGCACAGCTAACTTTCAGAACGGGCCTAACAGTGGGCCCACGGGTGGCTTTGCTCCTGATATGGGCCATAACAGTAGGCCCTCAAGTGGCTTTGCTCCTGGTATGGGGCCTGGTCAGGGCCAGAATCAGAATAATGCGTATGTGCCTCAAAATGTGGGTGGTGGGAGCCATTATCAATCCCAGAATGCTCCGCCTCCGCAACAGAACAGGGGTTTTAGTCAGGGACAGAATTCTGGCGGTTTTGGGCATAATGGAGGATATGGGAATCAGAACAGTTACGGTCAGAATCCGAACAGCTATGGTCAGCCGCAGGGGCAGAATCACGGAGGCTATGGGAATAACTATGGGAATAATCCTCCGCAGAACCAGAATGTGCCTGGGAGAGACTATGGTAATAATCCTCCGCAGAACCAGAATGTTCCTGGGAGAGACTATGGGAATAATCCTCCCCAGAACCCGAATGTTACTGGGAGAGACTATGTAAATGGAGTATGAGCCTCTCTTTGTTATTGTAAGGATTTTCGTTTGTGGGTTTGGTTTCACAAAACAAAGACTGTGTGCAACTGCTGTTCTTGTTTGGTTTTTGATAATGCACGTATTGTGTGTCGTGTGAATGTCCTGATGGTTTCTTGTTCCAATTTTATGATGCTGTTGGCTAATACTTAGTTGTGCTGGTTCATATCACAGCCTGTGCTAGAATTTGAATTTTCAGATTTTATATTGTTGTTTGAATTTTGTTTTATCTTCAAGAACTATTATTAGGGTACCAGGGATAATTATCAAGTGTCCACAAGGCGATTATCATTAGACAAATCCAATCACTTTTTTTTTTCCTCAAACCCATGTTTTAAATACCGTACCGTACCGGTCGGTAATACCGGATACCGATGGTCTGACCGGTACGGTTACACTTCAAATACCGTTTTGGCCAAAATACCGGTTTATACCGGTTTCATACCGGCAAATGCCGGCTAAAATACCGTCAAAATACCGGTTTATACCATTTTTTTTAAAAAAAAATATTTTTTAATATATTTTCAGTAATTTATTTATATAAATTAAAAGTTATACACTTAATTTTAATATGTTTACATTGTTATTAGATGTTAATTAATTTTACTATTAGTTAAAGTTAGTTTTGTACATCATTTATATTATAATAATAAATTAATTTAATATTTATTAAAACCGGTAAAATAGACGGTAATACCGGTCGAACCGGTTGAACCGCGTACCGTTGGCTCGTCCGGTATGATTACCGGTATGGTATTTAAAACACTGCCTCAAACATCAAATATTCATTAATGAACACTTGAACGTACAAGTTACAAGTTGAGTTCACGATTAAACATGGTAAATTGCACAAACAAGAAAGCAGGTAAAAAGGCAATACATGTTTTCATTCAGCAAAAGGGGGTACTGCAATGTCGGTTAGCTCTTACAAGGTGCCTACACTACGAGCTATCCTAAGAAGACGGCTCGCTGTCTAGCCCGACATCTTTCATGGCATCGGCTAAGGCCACCTTCCGAACCACCTTGTCCAGCTTGGCACGGTTAGCGACTTCACGAGCTTCTTGAGCAGCCTCTGAAGCCCTCTTCTCCTCCTTCAGATGAGTGAGCTCAGCCTTCTGGTTTTTAACCACATCCTTAAGCTTGCTAATGCACACCAGAGAGTCCTCTAACTCCTTTTTCAGGCTCTCCAGCTCGTTGGACGAGCTCTCACCTTCAATGGCTTCGTGATGTTGACTGTTTACTTGTAGCTTCTTATGAATCTGTTTGAGAACAAAAAATGAGACAAACCCATCAGCAAAACACAGTGCATTTAAGAAGAATACAAATTCAGACGATTCTGATGCTAAAATCATACCAAAAGCAAGACAAGCATTATGATGTACAACATCACATGCACCATACATCACTCCATGAATCGAGTATGCGTTAATTTATGTTTCAGTGGTTTCCAATTTCAGTTGAAATGGACAAACTTTCCTTCCAAGGCAGTGAAGATCATTTATCTGTTTCATTTTATCACCATTCAATGGTTGACTCTGTTGTGACTCCTTGGCCCTTGCACAATTTTCAATCAGACGAGCTTGCATCACTCTGTTGTCACGCATCACCTT